GAATATTCGAAATTCAATAAACATTTGTCAGTATATACAAATTTAGAATAGATCTTGATACAGTATTTTGCTTATTTGAACAGTACTTTAACAGTGGCTTAATAGTAGTTTAAACATTAATACTGTAATATCGATATAGTAAGAGTCATTGTAGAAAAATTTTTATTAATATTCACAAAATTAGATATAAGGTTTTGTGACACTCTCCTGCAGAATCATTTCTCACGGTCAATTTTTTGATTTATAACAAATATTATAAATTATATCTAGACCATTTTCTTATTATATAAGATCCTGCGACAAGAATAGGACTTAAAAAGGTTATAAGGGTAATACGTATAATGTTCTTAATCAGTAGTTTGGTCCAAATTCATATGTTGCAGAAACTTGGAATTTCCAGATCGTCAGATTTAAACCCACCTTAAGCGATAGTCGAATCTAAGGGGGTTAAGTTTACCAGAAAAAACAACAAAATAGGCTCAGTGTTTGAAACTTATGACTGAGCGGAGTTGCTTTGTTAAGTGTAATATGGTATTGTATTGGGGTAACGTAATTACTAAGCTTGTGATTTTTCTTCTGACAGGTTCTCTAGATCTAACGAATGTGAAGTATAAAAATAAGCATGTTTCCACCTTAAGATAAGTTAGCAATAACATTATTTTTTTGCTCATATATTTTTTTCTTGATTCTCTTGCACCGTATTGTTTAGGTATTTTGCTATTTCATTTATTGAAGACTATGAAAATGAATTTTTTACTTACTATGATTTTTTTTGTTCTTAGGAACGAAAAATGAGCAGTATTGATAAAACCACTACCCTTACAACTAATGACACCAATACCACCTCCAAGACTAATGATGCCACCACCACGAGTAATAACACCACCACCTCTATGACTAATGATAGTAACCTTTCCGAGAACTATTATGTCCCCCAAACACCGCCCAATCCAAGACCTAGCCAAAGGACATCTAATTCCAATCGTCAACGTAGAAGTAGGAGAAACAGATATGGTAGGAGGTAACTTTTATTAGAAAGCGCTCTTCATATATTTGTGAAACTAAGGCTAAAACTCATTTTATCAGGCCATGTCCGTGCATTAAATTAGACGATTCAACCTATGACCCCAGAGAAGATAATGACTATAATGTTAATGAAGACAGCCCTTGGTTAATTTTTTAGAAGAAAATTCAGAATGGTGTGAGGAAAATGATTTCAATGAGTATGAGAATCCTGGACAATGACAAGAAAGGCTAAATCAAAATTAATAAATAGTTCATATTTTTGTCTGCAGTATGCAACTGTGGTGTATTTTTTTTATTTGTATACCGTTTCAGCAATTTTTTTATGAAATAAAAAAGGGGTTCAGTGGGCTCGCCATTTTTTTTAACTAATCGTGTGAATGGGCTCTACTTATTAACCTATGCTTTTACTGTTACTATTGGGATTAAATTTTGATATTTATTTATATAACAATAGAGACGATAAGTTTTTGTATTGACATAATCGCTACTCCTCCATAAACCCTCTATATAATTTCTTATATTTTCTTTCTTATAGTTTTTATTACATAAAGGGCAGAGTACTAATCTATTAAAATTAAAATAATTACTATATTTAAAACTATGTTTCAAAGTTAAATAAGGAAATCGTTCTAATACCATTTCAATAACGTGTTGTTGCCTTTCTTCTGGGTCTTTAGATAGAACAGAAATTGGTGGTCGAGATTTTGATAGCAAAGACTGAACATTTATTCTCGGTACAAATAAAGTTTTCTCCTCAAAAGATATCTGTATGAATTGAGCATAGATTTTTTCCCATTCTTCTATAAGATTATCGAGCCATGCAGTACTCAAACCACTTTTTAGTATATTGCGATATAATAACTCTTCACTGACTAGCCTCTCCTGATCTGTTAAAAATTTATAATATTTTCTAGAGTCTTCTTTTCTTTCTATTCCATCACGATAAAAACGTATATCTCTTTCCAAATCCCTACGAAAACATCCTGTGGTCCATCTATTTTTCTCAGCCCCTGTAATAATCGAAAATTCTTTGGAATTTATTCCATGTTCGATGGCATACTGATAAAGGTGATTTTTGTTTGGTGCCATTATCTAAGTTTCCAACGAGCTGTCTTGTATAATACGATTATCAGCATTTTCGCTTTGTAGGGATTCAGAAGTTTCAGACTTTATTCAAAGATCCAGTCTAGTCTCTTCTATGTATGCTCTATATAATCTAGAACAAATTTTTTCTGTCTAAAAACTTGGTAAATCAACTAAATTAGCATTCCATTTGCAATAGTTATCAGTTAATATCTTGCTGGGGTAGTATCAGAAGACATGTTATCGTTTTATATTAATGCAACTTAATTCAAAATCACGTAACTGCCAGACACAGAGTGTCCTACTCCACAGAGAAAAAAATATCACTATTTACTTGACCAGATTTATATAATTATTTATTTATGCAGTTATTTCAATTTCTTGTTGTTCACATTTAATAAAATAAGATCTAGCTTCATATCTACCTCTTATACTTTTCTTATCTTTATGACTCGACTTGCATGCTGAACATAACGACTTGTCAATAATTCCATAATATTCGAATTTTTCACTACTAAATTCTCTATGTATATTAGGATATTGACCTAATATTTTATTACGAAAATAAGCATGATCATAAGCTAAGTTAGATGAAGTGCTCACCTCTGCATTAGTCTGATCGTTCCCTGAGGAAATGGTTTTTAAAGTTACTTGATTTATAATATTTTGGATCTGGACATTAGTCAGTTTTGAAATCTCATTTGCACTATAAGTGACTTGCTTAATTTTATCTATTCCAACTCCATCTTTTCCGAATAACATAAGAAGCTTTCTAGCTCTCAGAGTTTTTTTGCATAAGTTATCTTGTGTGATACTAGGAAGAAAAAGTTTCATTTCTTTGTAAATCATTGTTCTACCATTTTATCTTTTATTTTACTATTGGCTGTAATATTATGAACCTTATTTTCGAATTCAAGAGAATAATAATATCAGTTTAAGATTTCCTGTTGTCTTAACTTAATTGCTGTTTTAAATAAATAAGACAAATGTTGGACAGAATTTCCAAAGAAAACAATATTCGATTCCTTTGAAGACATATTCCCTAATTTGTCGTCAGCGTTACCAATTTTGATAGAACTGTCGTTTTCTTTAGTAGGTAAATACAATTCTTGTATTAAACCTTGTTTAACGATTTAATTTTTATCAATTTCATCATCCTGTTCTAATTCAAACACTTCAGTTTACAATGAAGGTGACTCTGTTAAAATCACATAACTTTGATCATTCCCTAAGAGAACAGTTTTTGTATTATAATTAACTTGGGGTCGTGACCCCATATCTCTGGATGTAATTTTATGAAATTGCAATAAGTCTTGGACTTGTTTTCTAACCGATTCACGCTGAAGCTTTTTTTTCTGATTCTATCTTTTATCTTGTTACTAACCTGTTCCTTATACATTGAATCCAGAAATTCATTTTCTTCTTTCTCTT